GATGTAGATAATTTTGAATTTGGATGTAAACCCTCAGTTGAAGGGCTGGCAGAGTACAACAAACTGACAAAACTAAAAGTGGTTTCCCAAAAGATTTGTGCTCAGAAGGCACAGTTGCTGGCTGTCAGATAGCCACAAATGGCAAATATGAGAACAAAGATAGTACTCTTTCCTAAGTATTGCATTTATTATGCATAGTATACAGTTAGTTAATAAATGGAAAAATGTCATATTTGTCATATTTGTAAGCACACCTCCATAGGTTTGGGAAAGGAAAATGCTCAGTTCAGAAATACTTTTTCGCTATTTAAAGGGTTTTGCTCATCCACTGCTTTCCTTCAGAAAACCACAAGAAGCAAACAGTATCAAAATGACAAAACTATGTATGAGCTCTGTGTTATTCAAGGATACAAAATTTAGGAGGAACAGAATAATAGGCTAAATAATATTCTAAGTTCCTGTAAATTATCAGAAAGATATGTTAGAATCAGAACGGAAAAATGTCTAAACTTAGACATCAGTTTTCACAGAGATTGTTATACGATAACAAGGGATATAAAAGGATATGTGTGCTAGCGTGAAACTCCGGATAATATCAGAAAAGGCTACTTCCAGTACCTGACACAGAACCTGGGGAGAAGATGGCTTTTAGGGAATTGTTAGAAATTTCTCTGTCTACGTCATCTAGTTCCATGAGTTGCTGTTATAGATTTCCCATCTACATTTTATGTCATAAGATACGTGTCTGAACATGAGCTTCTCTCATTCTGTTTGAATTCAGTCTTTTGGAAGCAAGATACTTGTTTCCATTAAAACTTTGCTGTGATCCAATTATAGGTGGCAGCTAAATAAATTCTAGTGAAGCCCCAGGAGACCTGATTGATGCAAGTTTTCAAGATGGCAAATACACACCAAAGTACAAGGGCTGTGGCCATTTTTATGAAGAGCCATGGAAGAGGCAACACTTTTTATATAGTATTTTAAATAATACACAATATATATAATAGATATTATACGTATAATGCCATATATTACATATTACATAAACCTATTGATTTTGCTATTCAGCAAGGAACTCTGAAACATCAGTTCAATTCCCTCTTCATCTTGAGGGGAATGAAACCTGTACCTCTTACCTCTATTTGCCAGACTACAAAACAGCTTGGCAGGAATAAAAAGCTGGATTTCAGCAACCTCTGTGGTGAATGTCAGCCTTTGCACAACCAAGTCATCTGGCAAGACACAGAGCAACTACACAGGGATAATCTCATGGTCAGGACGTTCATCTGGTTCTTTTGTCAGGATTATTTTTTATATCAAAACTGAAACTCCCTGGTCTCTTCCTATTCCTTGCTGAGTGCCCTAAACACAAGAATAACATGTGCTTCCTCTTGTTTGCTCTCCTGTGGTTCCAAGACCATACAGAGGGTCAGATTCTGTCAAAGGGAGGGGATGTGACCCAGCAGACGGGTGCTTGTGGCCAAAGAAGCACTCCTGCAGATAGAAGTCCAGATCTATTTCTGTTCTCACCTGTTAAAATGGGCTAGTTTCAACAAGGTGCCTCCTCAGTGGTGTTCATCTGGGAAGGATATTTCCTGGATATATTCAAATCTTGCTGTTGACTATAAACATGCCATTGAGATGTTTGTCGGACACTTATTACATGCAAGACCCTGTTTTTAGGTCTCCACTAGGTCCTAAAGTCTTAACAAATTTTGTAAATGAAAACGATGTATCTTATTTAGATAGAAGTTCATTAAAGGAATTAAAAAGTAGGCAATGTTATTTTAAACTTAGGAAAGCTTCAATCTTGAAATGTAGATTTTGTCGTTATAATTCTTCCTACCAGTTGGAAGTAAGTGCAAGCACGTCTCCTTTTCTTTACGAGTGAGTCATAAATTCAATCTATTAGACTGAAAAGGACCCTATATGTTCCCTTCAAATTACAAAAGAAAAGACAGTTACTGACCACAGTATAATTGTATTGCTCTGTCTCCATTACTTAGCTATAAAAAGATATGTTCTAACACACTTATCTCTGTTTCCAGGATAGCAGTCTATCTTGAAATTCAGCATTTGGACAAGAAAACCAGCAGAATGTGTAATTCAGAGGCCATTTGTGTCAGCTTTGTTTGAAATCCTGCTCTAAATCTGAATGACAGAGAATGAATGTGGCCTCCGTTCATATGACATGAGCTGAAAAGTTATGAGCATTAACAGCTTTACAGTCAGCTCCCTGAAACATAAAACTGCATTTTAGTAGGTTTTCTTGAAACAGTATTCCCTACATTTAATGCTTCATACCATGGCACTTTATACCACATTCATCCAGTATATCATATTCACACAGCACAGCACAACTACCAAAAGAAAAACAGAGGGAAAATAGCAGAAGAAAGTAAAAGTGTAGAGATAAGGCTTGAGGTGAGAAAATACGTTATATTACCTACAACTTGGTATTCACTACGTTAATCTGGAAAGGAAGCATATTTAAATTTAAAACAAAAAAGTAATACTTAAAATCACATTTTAAATTTTCATATTGAAGTGCTTTTCAGTAGGTAGGTAGGTTCCTGTATTTAACAGTGTAGAATGAAACAGAATATTTATGAAGAATTACAAAATAGCCATTCATTGGTAAACTTATCTGAGCTCCTTCAAACAGAATCCATGAATTTTGTTTACACTGACATTTAAGATTACCCTTGAAAGTAACCTTTTTCCAGCTTGAGCTTTACAAATTGGTCTTCTCTGCCTACATCTTAACTTAGCATCTGCACTGCAGACCAGTGAATTTGCTTCTTAATCCTTCCCAGAAGCCCTCCATGAAAAAATGAGATTATTGCCATCTCTGCTTTCAAACTTGACCCTGATTATGACAGAAAAAAAATGAATAAAGGATGGAGGCATTCTGAACTTCTCTGGGTGAAGGGCTGCCAGGATAAGAGACAGGAGAGGGACATTTTACAAGAGCAATTAGTGATAAAACAAGGAGGAAAGATTTAGATTAGACATTGGGAAGAAATTCTTTACTGTGAGGGTGGTGAGGCACTGGAACAGGCTGCCTAAAGAAGTTGTGGATGCCCTACCTCTGGAAGTGTTGAAGGACAGGTTGGATGGGGCTTTGAGCAACCTGTTTCATGGGACATGTCCATGGCAGGGGGGTTGGAACTAGATGATCTTTAAGGTCCCTTCCAACCCAAATTATTCTATGATTCTATTACTCTGTGATGACACGAGTGAGTGGTGTATACATTGCACAGCTACATACTCTAATACTCAGTTTTCTTAGGCTAATTCAGTTTCTAGCACAGGTGTTTAGCAGCTTTAGATTCATGTCAAATGCCATCACAGTAATTAAAAGTAACTTCTGTCAATTCTGAAAGAATCTATACTTCCCACTATTTTAAGTTAATTGAAGACAGAACTGAATAGGATTTTAAGTATTACATTTGAGCTCTGCTAACACATAGCACCATTCTAGATTAAAAGGTGTTTATAGCTGACATGGTAAAAATCAGTAAAGAGATAAGCCATGAGGTAAACTCACCCATGCAGGAAAAATTTATGAACACTTTGAATTAAGCTCATTTTTAAAATTTAAATGTTATCCTATTTCAAAAACAGGTGGAAAAATTATAATAACAATAGTTGTATGCAGCCTGAAACAGTGTAACTTATTAAACAAAGTGCAGATAAGAACTTAAAATGTAACATAGCACAACAGATGTAGAATAAAACTACTAGCTTTAAGCCTATTTGAATGTTAATTGATGATGCATTTGAACAACCACAGAAAATAGTGGATATGTAGCCAATTAAAATTTAGGGAGAGCCTCTTGACTTTGCAATCATAAAAGTCCATTTCCTACTCTACTAAAATTGAGATAATCACAGAAAATGACAAATTTACAACATAATGAATCTAATCCCTACAAAACTAGACAACGAACACTTACAATGCAGAACTCTACACAGTGATCAAAGTCTTTCACATCGAAGTTCTACCATAACAGAAGAAACACATTTTTGGAAGTGGACATCAACATGTAAAAAGAAAACTGTCTTGAGCTCATACTGTCTTCAAATGCAAGCACAAGGTATCTCACCACAAATAAATCTTAAATATAAAAGAGAAAATAAAAATAAGTATCTTAATAGTCTCCCTCTCATTTGCCATTCCCAATGGATTGGCAATCAGCAAGATACAGCGTTTTTGATAGCTTTAATCATCTTCCACTACTCTCTGCTAATTATCTCTATTGAAGAAGAAAACTAAGAAGAGAAATTATAATAGAAAGTAACAAACTGCCAAGGTATGAAAGGACAGAAATATAATTGTTAAGGAAATCCTCTTTCATTTCAAATCTTTCTTTGAACTGGCTTATAAAATGACAGATAACATGTTCATGAAGAGAATATAATTTGAGTTTATTACCTCATCATAACCAGCATATTATAAACTAATTTGGGATACTCAAAATTACATAGAATAATGCACAAAGAAATGCTATCCCACAATTAAGGAGCTCTGAATCATATGAGGTACTTCATAATGATTTTCTCAGCCCAAACTGCTCTTTAGTCATAGAGAGCTTTGCACATTTCCAAATTTTTCTTTTGAGTCTGCTTTCTCAGATTGACACTAGTTTCTAAAAATCTGGACTAATAACAGGTCAATGACCTGCTGCAGACAAGCAACTCATATTGTAACATAGTAGAAAAAGTTGTATTTCAGTGTTTCAAAACTGAAAAACAGAAGTTTACAGAAAATCTTTCCACAGAGTTTTAAATATTTACCATCAGCAATAAATAATTCATAATATATTTCCAAATCACAGAGCAATATATAATTTTCCTTCAAAACAGTAACTTGTCACACAAAACAGAAAAGAAGTTATTAGTAATTCTGTGTTGGAAATCATATGTTCAAAAAATGTGAATATCTATAGCAAATAATATTTACTTGTTAGATTTATGTTTTTACTATAAATTCTTACCTAAGCTGTTTAAAAGCCTCTGCTTTTACAAGTGGTGTTTCTACAGAGTGTTCAAAAAGTGCTCCTTCAGGCCCTGCAAAAAAAAAAAAAAGAAAAATACTATAATGTAACAGAATGAAAAAAAAAAAGAACGGTTTTGATATGGTCACCTTGATATGAGATATTCAGATAAGAAAACACATATTAAGAATTATAAGACAATAAAATATAGCTATATTATTACCATTACAGTATTGATTGGAACAACACAATACACAGGTAATGTAAATGTACATTAAATTCTTAAAATGAAATCTAAAAAGTCTGAAGGTAGAGAAATTTTAAATTACTTGGGACAACAAAATAATAAGATTTGTACAATGTAACTTCCATTACAGTCAATAGAGATAATTTAAATCCCAAAAAATCTTTGCAAATATTACAGTCCTAAATTATCATATTTATTTTTAGACTATTCTATGCATATCAAAAATTCTGGCATATAGCTTCATCAAAGATTTACCTCTATTTATAGGGAGACTTGCTGAATATAAAATGGTATTTATGCACGCAAAATGGTAATGATTTTGGGATCAGACAGTTTACCTCTTGAAATAAGAGTGGTTTCATCCCAATGAGGAAGAAACAGTGGGCACCCAACCTTACCAGGAGCTTCCCCATTGGACCTGAATCCAAGAACATCCATTTCTGCTCTCCTGCTTATTAGCATTATTGTAGTATCACCAGCTCAGTGACCATCTCCCACCTAAGCTTCACCAGGATCAGGGAACTCGCTGAAATAGTACAAAAGCCCCTCAGCAAAAGAGATGGCTCAAACAAAAAGCATTGTGAAGATACTCATCAAAAATGGGAGTGGACTTCCTTAGGCTGAGTGATCTCCGGCTTTGAGGATTCACATATCTGAGCACTTTTCAGGTGAATATGTAGCAAGGCAACATATTTTAAGATATTATTATAATTTTATTATAATAATATTATAATACTAATATATTTTAATAGTTAGGATGTTATACAAGGTGGCTTGTTTGGCTGCTCTGTCAGTTAGAATAGGATGCTGTTACCCTCTAGAAAGAATTCTGGGCTGTAGAAACCCTAAGTTAGGGATTTAGACTCTATTTAGACAGAGAATGACAATGGATGAAAGTACGGTGTAGATAGTATAGATGTGGTATTAGATTGTATTTAATGTAGCATAAAGGGAAAAAGAAAAAATTGCTTGAGGCAACTACAGAGAACATAGCAAAAGGAAAAGAAGTGAAATCAAGAAAAAACATTAAAAATTAATACATTGCTGAGACAATTGAGAGGAAGACTGTCACTTCATGAGGGCTAGGGGAAAATTCTTAGCATGTCCTAAGGAAGCATGAAAGAATGAAATCTCCTTAGCTTGGATGGAAGAGAAGTACACAAGACATGAGAATTACCACATTAAATCACTCCACCACTTTGAGGAAGCATTGATTTACTAAACTTGTATTTAAATTTTACTCAGCTGTTGATATCCTCCTCATCAATTTAAATAGATTAACCTTTCTGTAAACTACTAACTGCCATGAATATAATACTGGAAAATTCAAAATTCATTAATTCAGACAGAGCTTTAAGCCTTCTTCATTAACATTAAGATTATTCTGCATGATAAAACCTAATGTCTTGATGGACACAGTCAATTATTCTCCTGTTCTTGTATTTGTGCTGGTGGGTGTTACAATGTGGCAACCTTACATGTTGAAGATGACGAAAAAAACACCCTACACCTTAATGAATTAAAAATGTTTATCAGAAAATGCTGATTTGGTACAACTAAGATATTTTGCAGGGATATGTTGATCTGTTGAAAGTGTATATGTGGCTCTTGGGGACACAATTTAGTGGTGGACTTGGCATTGCTGGTTAATGGTTAGACTTGATCTTAAAGGTCTTTTACAGCCTACGTGATACTATGATTCTCTGGTTCTGTAAAGACAGGTAAGTGGTAACAGAGACAGTATCACTTTCATGGAAATAGGGGATAATGGAAGAAAGTCAATAGGAAACATCAGTGTCAATGCTGCTGGGGGAGAGGGGGTGGGGACGTGGTGTAAGATGGAATAAAAAGGCTTACTTCCATATTCTAGAGCTATAAACTCTAAGCAGGAATAACCCCTTGCCTTTATGTGAAAAAAACTTAAGTTTGAACAGTATGACACTAACAAAAAAAAACCACAGGGCAATATCATTTTGAAATGCACTAAATTGATTTCTTGTCTTCGTTTCCTACTTTATCTTTTAAACTGTAAAGAAAGAACACTAATTATTATATGAATATTACTATATTTACTATTTTATAGGCTACTGCTTATTAATATAATGTAATTTAATTCTAAAATACACAAGAACAAGATATTAATTTTCTCAATGAGAGGACTGAAGCCAGCAAGATTCATTAACTTCCCACGCACCCTATCAAGCAAGGACAATTTTCCTTCTCAAAGTCTTACAGAATGTTTATTCATATCCTCAGATTGTCTCCTACTTAACTTACTTTCTGAGCAGAAGTGTTAAAATCAAACACACATCCTCACATTGCACTTCAGCATTAGCTAGGTAAACTGAAAACCTTTGCATAGAACAGAGCACTAGAAAATCAGAGACAATACTCAGACAATACTTTAGGAAATGTTTATAAATGTCAAACAAGCAGAAGTACAAGTAGTAAACTGGAGAAAGGGTGATATAGTATGTTTCTCCTTAAAAATATTGATCCCCTCTGCCCTGCCAGCTTTCCTTCAAGAAAAAAAAATGTGTAGATGTAAGGACATGGTTTAGTGATGAACACAGGGGTTGGTTGAACTTTATGACCTTAGAGGGCTTTTCTAACCTTAACAATTCTGTTTCTATGAGTCTGCCATGACAACATCATTAGTTATAAAGCAATCAGCTCTTTGCCAGCCAATAAACTGTTATAAAGTGGGTTTCATTCTCACCAATGCCACCTGGATGTATAAAACCCTACCAGAACAAAATGCTGATGTTCAGTACCTCTGTAGCAACAATGTCTGCAAAATATGCAGGCGATTTCTGAAATAATATTAAAGAGGATGCAATTGGAGTATGCGCTCTTTCAGGTAGCAGTAGTTGTCATGAAGGGTTAAGCTGAGCTTCAGTTTCATACACTTAAATTTAAGAATTTAGTTGCCTAATCATATTTACTTACTGCCATCTGAAATACCCTTGTACATCCTGCCTGGCCTTCAGCTGTCATGATCAAAGGAAGCATCTCTTGTAGATACAGAGATATCATGAGGTGTCTCACATACCCTAAGGTGTTTCACATGCAGCTGGATGCTAATGTTTTAGCATGTGAACTCAGCCACTATCCACGGTATTCCACGGAGATGAGTGAGCTGTTAAGCTCACCCTACAGCAGACATTTGGTTGGCACAAGAGCTCTTCATGTGGCAGGTCTAGGTGTCCTCTTCATGCTCCAGGATGCATTGGCTGTGGACTGGAGGTTCAATTCAGCCATCTGAACGTGAGCGTCTAAGACCTGTCAGTGACCCTGTGGGGTATCTGTGGCACTTTGCTGGTTACGGCTTTTCCCAGGCATATGCTCTTCTTAGAGCAGAGAGAGTCTGCTGCTATTTTATTCTACCCCATGGGCCAGAAAATATCTGACTGAAATAGTGTTGAAACACACTAAACTGTAGGAAAATGACAATTCTTGTTGGATTAGATTAGCTTATTCTTAGACTTTTTCTTTTGTCCTGAAATATCATAAATAATAGACTTTGCTCTCTGCTAGATTATATTTTAGTTGAAAACTGTTAGGTTTTCTTACAAATCATTACTGCACTTTTCATAATTCACATAAGGAGAAATAAAATCAAATAGTTCACTATATTGCACATAAAAAAACCGCAAAATGTACTTTGTGTATTTTAAGCCTGGGGTCATCTGTTTCTTATGATATGAACTCTTCAAAATTTATTTCACACTGATCTTGTTCTCTATCTAAAATGTTTAAAAATTATCTTAGTATGCAAAGTACTACAAATGTATCCTTCATGCTAATAGTACAATTTAAATCACAATAATTTAAACTTCATGCTAATAGTATCATTTAAATCACAATTTTAATAAATTAATTTGAAGCAAAGTAGGCATGAATCACCTCTCACTTATATTAATTTTACAGTGAAATAACCTCAGTGACTTTATGTATTTGCTTTTGAATTGTACTACAGTGTACAAAAGAAACAGGCAATATGTCTTTCTACAATATCTGCTGAAGTTAATAATTATCAATGCAGTGTAAAGATTCACATTGGATGAGTCAGAATACATTCTCTAGCTCGTGTATGAATGATTTTTACTTTGAGCAGAGATAGACCTTTTCCAAATCAGTTAACAATTACGCAGTTTTCTATATCTTTGTTAAACATGCTTTTCTATTAAAGTTTAGCACCCCTTGGGCAAACAATAATTATTTGATATGGTTTCCTGGTTAAACAAAGTTGTAATTTCAATTAGGCTAAAAAGTAAAAAAAACTAAGATGAGACCCTTAGGCGTAAACAAAATTTATTAACATAGTTATTATAACTTAACTTTGGCTTTGAAACACTAATCATATAGTTACTGCCATATTTATAGTCTTACACAGTGAAATAATATGAATCTATTCATTAAAATCAAGACCTCAAGATTTCAGAGGACCAATAATTAGCAAAAGCCAAACATGATAGTTGCAATCTGGTAAAAATATTAAAAATATATTTGAAAACAAGTTACAGAATAATTTTAATATTTCCTTTGATGGACTCTTCTGCTTAAAGAGAAATCACACCTTGATCCATTTTAATGCAACCTTACACCTAGAAAATGAAGGTTGAATTTATCAGGCCATATGAAAGGAAATAGCTTGTCATGTGATAACTTTGATGTATTACTTTGTAAATGAGTACTTTAGTGATTTGCAGAAATAGCCTAAGACAAACTTGTCTTTTGACAAATGACATTTAAAATATACTACAAATATCATCCTGTGAACTTAATCTGGCCTTTGAACTTAATGTGGCCACTTCTGTTAAGGACAACAAAAAGTGTTTTTATAAATACAACAATAGCAAAAGGAGGGGCAAGGAAAACCTTCATTCTTTGTTGGACACGGAGGAGAACATAGTTACCAAAGACAAGGATAAAGTTGAGGTACATAACAACTTCTTTGCCTCAGTTTTCAACAAGAACACAGGTTGTCCTCAGCACGACTGGCTTCCTGGGCTGGTAGACAGCAATGGGGAGCTGAATAACCCCCCTGTTATCCAGGAGGAAGAAGTTAGTGACCTGCTGAGTCACTTGGATCCTCATAAGTCTATGGGACCAGATGGGATCCATCCTAGGGTGATGGAACTGGCGGAAGAGCTCGTCAAGCTGCTCTCTATCTCTCAGCCCACAAGAAGGGCTGGAAGGGAGACTTGGGAAACTACAGGCCTGTCAGCCTGACCTTGGTGCCTGGCAAGTTATGGAGCAGATCATCCTAAGTGTGATCACGCAATAGCTACAGGATGGACAAGGGATCAGACCCAGCCAACACAGGTTTAGGAAGGGCAGGTCCTGTCTGAACAATCTGATCTCCTTCTATGATCAGGTGACCTCTCTGGTGGATGAGGAGAAGCCTATAGATGTGTCTATCTGGACTTCAGCAAAGCCTTTGACACTGTCTCCCATAGCACACTCCTGGAAAAGCTGGCAGCCCATGGTTTCGACAGAAGAACCCAGTTCTCTGCTGGGTCAGGAACTGGTTGGAGGGCCAGGCCCAGAGAGTGGTGGTGAACGGTGCTGCATCCAGTTGGCAGCCGGTCACTAGTGGTGTCCCCCAGGGATCAGTGTTGGGCCCAGTCCTGTTTAATATCTTTACTGATGATCTGGACAAGAGGACTGAGTCCACAATCAGCAAATTTGCGGATGACACCAAAACGGGGGGGAGTGTCAATCTGCTCGAGGGTAGGAGGGCTCTGCAGAGGGACCTGGACATGCTGGATAAATGGGCTGAATCCAAAGGTATGATTTTTAACAAGAACAAGTGCCGGGTCCTGCACTTTGGCCACAACGACCCCATGCAGTGCTACAGGCTGGCCATAGAGTGGCTGAAGAGCGACCACGCAGAGAGGGATCTGGGGGTTCCAGTCAAGAGGAAGCTGAACATGAGCCAGCAGTGTGCCTAGGTGGCCAAGATGGCCAATGGCATCCTGGCCTGCATCAGGAACAGTGTGGCCAATGGGTACAGGGAAGTGATTCTTCCCCTGTACTCAGTGCTGGTGAGGCCACACCTGGAGTACTGTGTCCAGCTCTGGGCCCCTCAGTTCAGGAAGGATATTGAGGTGCTGGAGCAGGTTCAGAGAAAAGCAACGAGGCTGGTGAAGGGACTCAAGCACAAGTCCTGTGAGGAGAGGCTGAGGGAGCTGGGGTTGTTCAGTCTGGAGAAGAGAAGGCTCAGGAGAGATTTCATCACTCTCTACAACTATCTGAAAGGAGGTTGTAGCCAGGTGGGCATCAGTCTCTTCTCCCAGGCAACCAGCAGTAGGACAAGAGGGCATGGTCTTAGGCTGTGCCAGGAGAGGTTTAGGCTAAACATTAGAAAGAAATTCTTTACAGAGAGAGTGATCAGACATTGGAATGGGCTGCCCAGGGAGGTGGTGGAGTCACTGTCCCTGGAGGTTTTTAAGAAGAGACTGGATGTGGCACTTACTGCCATGGTCTAGTTGACAGGGTGGTGTTGGGTCATGGGTTGGACTCGATGATCTCAGAGGTCTTTTCCAACCTGGTTGATTCTTTAATTCTGTGATATATGCTACACACATAGCAGAAATACAGTGGCTTTCACTTTGCAAGATAAAACCATATAAAAATATCAGAGAGAGCCCAAAGTTTTCCTAAATCAAACTCATTACAACTCAGACTGGAATACTTAGAATTTTTTCAGCCTCAAACAGTGTGCAATGGAAACATTAAATAATTCAGAAAAAGATGCATCAGTTCCAATCACTAATGGCTTTAAAATAAAATAAACACAGACATATTTACATATTTTTATATATATATTATTTTGCTTTCAAAAGTTCTTACTGATTATTTACTGGAAAAGGTCAGAATATCTTCATATTTCTGTTTCTTAATGAGGTAAAAATGGAGCTTGTATTCACACATAATGATGTATTTAAAAATGCCATTTTTATTGTGCTTTTCTTATGGGTATTATTTGAGCATTTCTTAAATGGTTACAAACCTGTGACTCGAAGCTTATCTGTGCCAATTACAACCTCATTTTCATCCACTGTAAAAAGTGGCTTTCCATCCTTTGAGTTGATCTGAAATTGCTGACCGTGGAATTCTACCATTTTAGGACCTGCAAAGCACAGTAGAATAATTAAATAATGACATCATCTTTCTTCAATTTTCTATATAAATTGCTAATACTTTTAATTGGTGTCTTAATAATTTAGTGACCCATTTAAGTACACTAAAGATCACGAAGCACCCAGATATTCTAAGGATAGTGGCCCTCTAAGTACTGAAATTGGATAAGTCTATTTACATGATCTAATTTGTTGTTCAAAACTGTGCCTGTAGTCATGCTTTATAGATGGTTTTCCAGGGAATTTAGGAAATCTCTTTCAAATTGATCAAGACAAACATTCATGTTCTTGGTGTTGAAACAGCTTTGATCAGTATGAGTCTAGCATATTTTTCTTTTTTTTGAAACACAGAAACTAATTATCGAAGTCTTTGCAGCATCATCCTTTTTGACTAGGGAGGTTCAAATGATTTAAAATTACAAACGTCCCATGATAAGAGCAGGACGCTCAGCTCTTCAAAACAAATGTCAGTTTAGCTGCACATATCCTGCAAATATTACTGATTATGTTCTTAAAAGAGTTTCAAAAAACTATGAGAGTATTTGCAATTGATTCTGGTACTCCAAAAGTTAAAATAATTGTGCACAAGAGAATCTGCATATTTCGAGATCCTAAATTCACTAAAACATCATGTTCTACACCATTGGCTTGGTAAGTGGATAAAAATCAAACCTGTTATATTCCCTTTTCTAACAACCTGATGAATTAAAAATTCACACCACGTAAGTTTGAATATCTATTTCATGGAGTTGTCATCTAAATCCATGTTCAGAATTAAAATTACAGAGAATGCTCAAAGCATTTAAGACTCCTTTTCAGCAACTTTTAATAAGGGTATTTCACAGACTATCCATGGAACCAAGAGGCATTGAACTGCTTCCTTCCCATTAAGAACCTGTCTTACCATGTCTACTCCCATAAGTGTTAAATATATTCCAGGCAGTAATTCTCATAAAAATAGGAATTTTTCTTTTTGGTAGACCTTATGTTAAATTAGATCAGTTGGTTAGAGCATGGTGCTAACAATGCCAAGGTCACGGGTTTGATCCCCATATGGACCACTCACTTAAGAGCTGGACATGATGATCCTTGTGAGTCACTTCCAACTCAGAATATTCTCTGATTCTCTGGAAATGGCATTAGGTGACAGATGATTGATAGTGCTAAGAAGAACATGCAGGTATTTCACAAAATCTGCATGGTAGCTGGTACAAGAGATGCATACCATAAGGTTCCAAACAAATTCCTTAATGTTTCAGCAGATACAAAGTAATTGCTTTTAATAGCCCACCAAGCACAGAAAGGGTTATAAAAGCCATAATGTCCTAAACCAGGGCAATAATTTTAAGGCGTAAACCCCAATATTGATTCTATTGAAAATGGTCAGGATAGAGGGCTGAACTCTGCATTATGTTACGCTCTGTTGCACATGTGCACCCAGGCACAGCCTTACAGACCTCATTTTAGCTCTTCTCTAAAGCCACTATGAAGCACATGACTTAATTTCCGAGAAGTATGTTGCAAAAAGTGATATCAGGGAATATCTTCGTTCAGTGATAAGGCAATAAACAATATTTTTTTTAGAGCAAAAGAAGAAGCTCTGGGTAAGTGAGGCAATCTTGTCAATGCCTTCCTAGAAAATCTTGGTTAAGGTATTTTATTTAAGGTCCCTTCCAACCCAGGCCATTCTATGATTTTATGATTGTTCCCATTTGTGCCCAACAGCATTAACAAAACCGGCTCTTTATGTAGTGTAGCCAGATCCTTCTGTATTCAAACAGATCAAAGGCATGGATAAACTGGGCATTACCAACTTTACTGGTGTTGCAGAGGCTGGTTCCTCATCCTTCCCATTCATCTAATCCCATGAATTTTAAAGCCAGACTTAATCAAGGAAAAACTCCGCAAGAGAGCACTCACTGAACATTATATACTTTCCAAAGGAGCCTTAACTTGTCTCTCTTTGAAACTACAACTCATGGCCTTGCCCGTGCTGGGTTTCCATCCAGATTTCTTTCCTGTTTGATCCTGGACCTTGCACACTTCAATAAATTTTTAACAAGAATATTCAGGTCCACAGTTTTCTCAAAAAAAATGCCCCAGTAAAGTGGGACAATGACTGTCCTATAGATAACCTTCATTATCAGAGAATAGTATGGATAATAATTGATGTATTTTATATCTTTAGAGGGAATAGTAGGGTAAACAAAATTCAAGTGTATGTTTTATTCATGCTAGAGATGAGACATCTCAGTATACGTGGAACAAGTTTCAAAAAGGAATAATAGGCTTTTACACAAATGGGAATGAATTTATGTAATGAAAAGTAGCCATTAATCTCTCTTAGTTGTATTCCACAATACACATAGACTAGCTACATTGCAATAACACTAATTGTATTGTGATCCCAGTGAGGTTAATTTTCAACTCATAAACAGCAGCCAAATTCAATATCTGAAACTTTAATCTCCTAATGCCTAAATATGTTTTGTTTGCCATCCTAGTACATTAACTACATGTAAGTCAACTAAAACTATATAATCGTATTTATTGATAAAATCCTACAATTAAAAATGCAACCTGACTGAATGCAGGTTATAGAAAAGTATTCATTTTCCACTTACTGACAGATGTGTCTTCCAAAAACAACTGACATAATACTAAACGGTCTTCCTTTTCATTTTTCCTCCTCACTCTTGACTCCCCTAGGGGTTTTCTAGGGAAGGAAGGTCTTTTATTTACTGAGTCCATTTCAGTTGACAAGCATTTAAATAAACTGCCTTCTACTACTACTCAACCTTTGAATTCCAGGTCAGTACAAATACAGATGTACAAGACTGAAAAGTATCTTTATCAAAAATGGGGCTTGCCATAACATACATATTCACGAATGCTTAATGGCAATGAAATTTGGAGAGCCTGAACTTTGAAGAGCCTGCCTACATGTTACCAGTATGCAGATTCTTCAAATACAGTTAGTTCTGCCAAATATATATTTATATATACTTTAATATATACAAGTAAACTTTTAACATGTCTTCAGATCTTTCAGAAGAAAAGGCTTTCCAACGCTGGATTTATTTGTTCGGATCTTTTATTTTCTTACTCTCTCTCATTATCCATCATTTCTGATAACCTATGGCTGTCAGCTATTCTGTATGCTTTGCTCTTCTCCTACAACCTAGAATCATCAGTGATGAATATAAACCAAAATCCTGAGCACTTTGGGGTACTCCTATGCAATTTAATTTTTTAGCTAATTTTTATTAAATTAAAGCACCTTACTTAAAATAAGATATCATTAAAAGTGTATTAAAAATGTAATACTCCTACAGATCCAATTCTCATTCCACGAGTAATACAATACAATACTAATAAATGTAAAGTCATTACTTTCAGAAACATAAAATTAGTCATATTTTCATATGGAATGGTATGCAAGTACTTCATTAGTATTGGCATTTCGTTAGAACAAATGCATTATTACAGAAAATACGCAGCATGTTGCATATATATATTTTATGTCCATGTCATACATCACTCCTTGCCTTGAAAAACAACTGTAATACATTAATAGAACACTTGCTTCTCCTGTTTCCTCTTTTTCTCTCAGTTCTCCTTTTATGCAATGGATGAAACAATGATGTCCCCTCAGATCAACGTAAGAATGCCTTACTGTCAGTGCTGCTTATACTTTGTTGTTCTCTATAACTGAACACAAGTCTAGAGATCTTAAAAAATTGGTTCTCAATGATGGTTACAGACACTGATCATGTAGACAGTAGCAACCCAACTAATGTTAGGTATGTAGGTGATAGCACTTTCCACTCTCAGAGTGATTTAGCTAATGCAATGTCTTTATCCATCTAGGCATTAGCCATATAGAATACTCTATTTAAATACAGAAACAAGAAACCCATGCAATATTTCATTGTAAAATGGGCTATTGCATGTAGAAACTTCGGCAGGAACGGATCATATTTCTCACACAATGACTTGACAAAAAGGCTATGGTGTCACCTTTTTGCTCAGGCTTAATGAACCCAGAATTTGTTGTATGATATTAACTTCAACAGGAAAAGGTGAAACATACAGTTCTCAGACAGATAAGGTGAAAAGGAAAGTACCAAAGGAGACGAGGCATGGTAATTTGAAACCCTGTATGAAGAAAGGACAGCTAATGTGAGTCTCTCATTCCTGAGCAAATACTTGAACGACTCTATTTTCAGTATAGTGGATATTTTTCCTCCTTTTCTTTAAAAAAAAAAAAAAAGAAAGCCATGAGTGTATTTTCATAAGGTCAGCTCCTGCACTGTGATTCATATCTAAGCATACCTACTGGATCTGCGCAGAGGACGATGTGAGAGGATCAGTTAAACAGGTGGGGAATGACTGAGTTGATAATGCAACTGTCTAGTCCATTTACATACTTCTGTGTTCTCTGTCTGGCCTTCAGCTTATTTTTGATGTCCTAGTGTATCCAGGACTTCTACATCAGGTTAGAAAGTCTGACATGGGGTCTGTGAGCAACATGAGCTCTTTCAGAGAGTTAGCTGAAGACTGGGCAAGATGGAACTACAGAAGAATGCAAGCCAGAGGTCACCTCTGGAAGTCACCTGGTCCCACCTACTGATCACATCAAGGTCAGCTTGCTTGGAAGTTAGATAAAGGTTCTCAGGGTCTTGTCCAGGTCTTGTCTTTAATACGTCTGAGGAAGGGAATTTAACAGCCTCCCTGGACAATTTGTTCCCATGGTTAACCATTCTAACAGTGATATTTCCCCCCACAGTTTATCCAGTTGCATTTTGCCTCCCTGCAACCCATGACCATTATTGTTTTTTGCCCTTTTGTTGTGCATCCCAAGAAGAATCTGGATTCATACTAGTGATAGGATAAGGTGAAATAGCCTCAAGTAGCACCAAGCAAGGTTCAGGTTTGATATTACAAAAACATTTTTCACTAAAAGAGTGGTTAAGCATTGGAACAGGCT